CTGACTCTAACTCATAGACCGGGAGTCGTGATGAACTCTACGCATGAACAAATACATGCCAACGCCGAAAAACATCACTCAGCAGCAACCCTATACCCTACCTACCTCGAAACGCCAAGCCCTAAATCCTAAAACCTAAACCCTATAAGTCCTAAACCCGAGCCCGGAACCCTACTAACTGCTCTCTCTCCTGAGGTGGAAACTGAGCGCCCGCAGAGGCTCTTCAGTGAGATCGAAACGCCTAGGGCTGTAGGGTTTGGGGTTCAGGATCTAAGGGTCTAGGGTTTAAGGCTTGGGGTTTAGGGCTTATAGCTTTAGAGCTTGTGGATTGGAGTTGGAATTAATTCTGACTGCGTAAGTCCAAACTAACATTGAAACATTGAAAGGGAGCAATGGCAGCTTCCAAGTCTGTTTTGGGCAGGATACTTGGAGGGTCAGGGGGCGTAGTAAGCGTACTTATAATCCCTATCAGTGCCCTATCAGCCATATGAAAACCCCAGTCATACCCATTATTTACTACTTACGGCTGTCCCCTTGACCCTCCAAGTAGAGTTTAGGATCTAGGGTCTGGCCCTTGGGAGGGGCGCAAATATGCGTCTAAAGTCATTAGTATAAGGTTTGGGGTCAAGGTTCAAGCATAGATTCAAGGTTGCAGTCATCAATTCAAGGTTGCAGTTTCGTTCTCCTTGATAGCCTCTAAGGAATATTGGATATCGGGATTCCAAGCTCAAAGGCAAGTGGAGCTCCACCCTTGAATATCCCAAATCCGCTGATTATTTCTTCGACTCCCAAAAAAAAAGAGAGCCTAAACCCCAAAGCCTTTGGACACCCCATATGTGCAGCAGTGGAGTTAATATTCCCCATACAAGGCATGGACATGGGCTGCTTATTGAGCATTGTATTAAGGACTCCCTTCATGCTATCTTTGTAACCTGAACCCAAAACCCTTAGGGGTTCATTGGTAATCCTAATCTTGACCGTATCTCACATAACCACTATAAACCACTATATAAGCCCAGTTTGCATTTAATCTTTCGTTTTTCTTCTCCAGTTGATTCCCCATTATGGCGTCAATATCCCTAAGCACTACTTTATGGTAGTTGCAGACTTTGGGTGTTTAGTATTCTTAGACCCTTCTCAAGCTTCCTTTTGCCATACTCCTAAACCTCCTGTTGGGATGCTCGCTTGGATAGAGCCGGCCCACGGTTGAGGATTTGGAGTTTAGGGGCTAATTCTTGAAGGCGGCAGTGTACCACACATGTTTGGAAATTGGGACCCCAACCTACCTAGATCTCAAATACTATAATCCTTTCTATGGGACCCCACCCCAAAGAAAGGCGCTACCCACAACCCTAAGTCTTAAACACCAATCCGAGAGTCCTGAACCCTATGCCTATGTATATATATATATAATGTAGATACATATTTTTTGTAACTATTTACAAAAATTGCTCTCACCCAGCAGGACCTGTAAAATGGCAAAGGCCCGGACGCGCGGCGTCTTTCCACCTGCTTTCAGTGGAGGGGCTTTCTCAAATGGTATATAAACGGTTTGGAGTTAATGGTGTCGTGTTTAGGGTTTAGGGAAATAGCTCCTACTGACTTGCTGTTAAAGAACCCAAGCAAGGTCACCATAATTTGGATTTATAGCAACTGATAGGATTTCGTACTCATGGTAGTTTGGAAAGATTTGAGATCCTAAGCAGCAACCCAGCTGAGCGACCCTGCAGCTCCCTCGTGAGGATTATGCAGGGACTCTATGGGGTAACTTCCATCTGTCTAGGATTTGTCCTTTACCATCCGCCCCAGACAACCTCCCCTGAGTTCCTCCTTGATTGGTTTCGTTCAGGGCTAAGGCTCATGGGGTAGTACAGGGGGTGGTTTTGTCATTCACTTTTCTAAGGCCTATCCACGCAAAAGGCACGACATCTAGGATCCAGGTAGGGATTGGGTTTCGGGATTGCTGTTATGGGTTCGGGTTGAGATACTGGAGGAGCTGGGGTAAGCATTAAGTTCTGCAATCTCTGGAAGATGTTTTCACATGCGCGGATGACTTGGGAATTTCCGAGAAGTAGGAGTCCTCACAACCAAGCTTGTAATATATGGGGACCTCAAGGGGACTCTGCATTTGCAGAAATTACCATGTAGCAGTGCTGTACGACCTGATGAGTCACCTCACCTCGGCTGCTGTCCGAATCGTAGAAGTTGAAAGTGCTCGCGCACTGCCGTTCTTCTGATACAAAGGTAATATAGGGGTACTATAGGGCTTATATAGGGGTACTATAGGGGTAGTATAGGGGGAATATAGGGGTTGTATAGCATGCGCTCGCGAAAGCAGCACATGTACTTCCCTCTCAAAATACACAATGCTGCAGCGGGACCCGATGTTCTTGGACTGCCTACTATAACTATAACCCTAGATGCGCTCAGGGCGCCCCACATATTCAAGTAACAATTCCAGGGGCTCTGTATTCTCCTGACATTCCCGTTCTCTGGGCTACCGGATGCTACTGGTAAAATATGAGAAGCCGCTGGTAGGCAATATGTTCAGCGAACTTATGGACATGAAGTTCCAATCCCCCAAAATGTTTCCTAAACAAATCCTAAACCCAAAGTTCCAAACTCACAACTGTAAATCCTAAACCTCTGGCCAGCGCCAGCCACGGGTTAGAAGGGCTTTGGGGTTTAGAGGCTTAGGTTGTGTCATCTCACGTACCTCCGGTTAGCAAAGCAAGGAGTGAAGAAGAACATGGAAACTTCTATTTAAGGTATGAAAGGTTTAGTGTTTAGGGCAAGGGAGTGAAGATGAAACCTACTGCATCACTGGGAGTAATGTAAGAAGTGCTGTAAGGATCGGACCAGTTAAAGCGTTATATAGGGGCTATATTAGCATTGGGGGCTTCTAATAAGCAACAATTAAGATCATTTTCATGACTCGCCTAGGGTCGGGGTTCAGGATTTAGATGTTTTGGGGCTGTACGACACAGTCAGAACCGTGTTCTCCTCAAGACCCACTGCTTTTTGTCTCCCTGTCCCCCCCAAACGGGATAATAATGGGAAGTACTGATATTCAAAACCCTCTACTTCAAGTGGGATGCTCAACATATTGTGTTTGGGTACCACATCCAAGCTGAAATCATCCTGCTATTCATGGAATTCATTCAGGAACGCACTTTGTATGTCACAAGCGCCCGAATCCAGTCTCAAAACACTGAGGTCCTTCTTCAACATGCGAATAAGTATGGCAGGAATTAGAATTCTCAGAGATAGTAAGTAAGAAGCCCTATACTCCAGAAGCAATGCGCAGCGCCTCGCGTAGCAATTCCTCTGAGACGTTCCTCCAAGCGACAGGCAGCTAACTTCGGAGGATGTTTTGTGTTTCCAATTTGCAGGAAATTCCTTATGACTTTCTGTGTAGAGGTTAGAGCAAGTCAGGGTTCCTAACCCTAAGCCCCAAACCCCTAACCATAACAAGGTATAGGTTGAGCAATGCCCAAACCTGGACCCTCCATTGTATAATTAATTTTCGCTCGAGGGGTATTTCTGCTCGATTTGATGTGTGATTCAGGGTTTGGTGCGTTCTGGGGAGGAACCTTTCGAATGGACAAGAATTGCCCGAGCTGCCTGAAAAGCGCCCGAATGCCCGTGGGAACCCAACCCCTGTGATGCTGATCAACTTCGGTGGCTACATCGGATGCCTTGGCCACGCTCTGAGCTTTTTCCTCACTTTGCAAGCTTCTTCAGCTGATCTTGGTAACCTCCTAGCATCTTCTGCATAGTACGATAGGCGCAACTCAGAGCACCCGTCCCAGAACGCCTGGCCACCCTTGAGCACCTCCCGATAAAATCTTCGTCCGCCCAACAGGCGGCATCTTAGCTACCACCAGATTTATGTCTGCAAATTTGGATTCAGGATTTCTACATGCTCAGATTTTCTAGCTAGCTTGTAAGTCCAGAACTCATGGGGTTGACGCTGTAGACATTGCGCTGTCCACATTCCAGCAGCTTAGTCCTTAGCTCCCATATCACATTTTTCACACAAGTTCAAATTTCCATGAGGAATGCGTAACATCACGAATTTAAATCTAGAGTCGCGAAGTGCTCCTGCATATGAAGCTTCGGCCTGACCTTGAACAACTTGAGCGAGTTTGCGTGGCAAGCCCTTGCCAACGACATATATCCAGCCTAGGATGCAAGCTAATGATCAGCACGCACATGATTCTACGTTGCCAGTGCGTATAAATCGTTTTAAAAAGATCACAAAGCCTGATAAATTATGAAGCGAAGAAACGGTCATCTCATGACAGGCTCTCCCGGCAAGCAAACTTGCCAAAGGGTCCAACCACAATCCAGCATCGTGCAGGATTCGGAAATATGTGTTTGCACACTCCACAGTGTACTTCAGCATTGCAAAAAGCTCATTTGAAGAATCCTGGGTGCGAGGCAGATCAAATCCATTAACAAATTATTATATAGTACAATTAAAGTCTATAGGAAACTAATAACATTGAGTGTATTCGATTCCATCAAGAGCTCCAATTTGGAAATGAAGGACTGAAGCCACGAGGTCATCAAGGCAGTATCAGCACCCCTTCCTCCCGTTGCTGTCGGATAGCTCTCGGACCTTAAATTAATATGGATTGGGGATCAAATCTCGAGACCAAAGCTGGGCCCTGGTAAATTATATTACAAATAGCGTAGTATCTAAAATCAGGTTGACAAATTACAGGCTAGGGTCTTTCCCATCTTGAACCCAGATTTTGTGAAGCTGCGAATATTGGTTGATTTGCGATGCTCGCTGCACCATGTGCAAAAGTCGGAGTATGCAGCATTCAAACGAGACTGTAAGCCGCGCCCAGGCAACAATTTCAGCTTGCAAAGGAGGATCAAGCCCGATGTCACGAAGTCCCGGCCCACACTTAGTGTCATAAAATTTTCTTTATAAAGAGCAACAATGTGTGAGTGAGGTCAACCAATAAACATGTACTTTTTGAAGGGACCTATGTAATGTCAAGACACCCAATATGCCACGTGTGCGCTGGATCGACCAAAGCTCGTAGCGGATCCGCAAGCCCAGGCACGAGGAACAGCGGAGAGCCCTGCCTCTTGAATGGAGTCGGGGCCCCATCACCAGAACGCCACGGCGCATCTTCAGACATATTGAACCATTCCTGGCCCAATAATATGTAGCAATAATGGGTCCATAGGCTGATCTCATAAATAGCTAGATCCTTAGAAAAGGGGCTCGGGAGCTCAAAGTCAGGGGTGTAATATATTGGCCGGGTTCAAGTTTTGGATTGAAATTGAAAATTTCCAGGTTGCTGCTGTCTAGAATCTTCGCTCGTGCACAGATGGCACACTCGTTTGCACTGCCATCCAGTTGCCAGTGCCATTGCCTATTACAAACTTTAAAAATGAATTAATCAAAAGTAGATGCGTGTATTTCTAGCTTAGAAGGAATTAATTTTAGGCTGTCCCCACCTTTCGAAGATAGACCCAATCTCCTTTAATGCCAACCACAGCGAAGTGCAATGTGACAGGGCCATCCGGGGTCTTGACCTTATAAGATGCAAGGCTATATGTATATGCTTTGAAATTTGGGGGCAATATAGCGGCTTAGCAACCCGTATACCATCTTGATAGAGGCGAATGAGATCAGCAGCGAGGGCGTCGTTCAAGGTATCCAAAGTAGAGTCATTCCAGTAGAGCTCCGCCGGGATGCAGGTAAAAAGGAATCTTGTACAGTAAGTATGCCTCATTGCAGATCCAATCATTGGGTACATGTACAGCCTAGCTAGCAATGAATTTATGATCTTATAACGCGTAGCAAAAAGAGGGTTATTCAGGCTGTGAGGGGCCCGCTGCTATTTTTGAAGTCTGTTCCTCGAAACGAAATTAATGGTTGGAAGCACTCCACCATCAGTGGAAGTTTGTACTTCCCGCGTCCTTCATCTCCGTGGAGATAAATCGGCACTGTGTGCGTAGTAGGCGGCGAACTGGCCTCATTCATGATGTGCTGCTCATCGTATTGCTTGTACCGAATCCAAAACTCATGTAAATTTGCCTGCCACCTCCTGCAATTGCGTGCGTCCACTCCTCCCAGAAGAAGGTGGCCATGATCTTTCATCAAGAACTCCACCCATTTGCTTGGGTAGATCACAGGGTACCATACCTTAACTTTTTTAACCACAGGTCGCCGCTTGCGAACTGGAGTTTCAACGAAATCGATAGGCAATGCCAATGTCAAGCCTTCTCGTTGGATCAAGCGATGAAGATTTCTGCAAACATTTTTGTCATTGGCGGCAGAAGAAATCTTGTAGAGCAAGTCCAACTCTCCTAAGAGATAAATAGGCAAAACACTCAAAACTCTGAATTTGCTAGAACAGCTAGGAGCATCGCATGCTTAGCCAAGTTTCGCCCACCCTGGCCAAGCCTACAGACCAAGCTCGCCATGTGCGCAGCTCCTTGAGCAGTTTCAGCCTCACAAGTTGAAGTTATAATTAGACATGATCATGTATCGACACCACACACTTGATCCTCCCAGACACACCAACACAAGCTAGGATGCTCCACTGAAATACTTCGATAAGATTTCAGTCGCCGCTTCCAGGTCCACATCATGATCTTCTTGGGAAAGCAGGGAGCGCTTGCCTCAAGCCCCATCTATAGTATAGGTTTGGGTGCTTACTTTACAAAATAAATGTTGCGATATTGTACGCTCTTCACATATTATGGGCCCAGGTTGGAGTATTGTTGCGCCTGTGGGGTTTCAAGGGATTGGCAGGTATCATGCAGTTTGGGGCAGGATGTCTAGGGTGTAGAATTGTAGGGCTTAGGGCTTTGGAATTGGAGGGCCAACCTATAATGTGAATAAACCATATAGCCCGATTCAATCAAACATTCTTCAGGATCAATCTGCCACATGGGAGCCGTTAATGGTAGGTATGGACTATACTTATAAACTACCATGTATAGTGCAGCCAGGTGCCAGTAGCTAGCCGCTGAAGATTCTCATTGTTCACTGCGCCTGCTGCACCTGGCAAGCTATGAAGGGGGTAAATCTGGTTGCATGCCATTGTGAGGCTGCGCTTGCAGTCTTCCAAATCCATAATGACAACAAGCCGATTTGGTCATTTGTTCTTGCAATCCTGAGGAGGATCTGTCGACATCTCGCAAATTGCGAGGGATCCGATTGCTCATGAATTTAACCCCTTGCAGCTCTGGACTTTAAGCACAGTAGCTGGCTTAATTAACAGCTGGTACCCGCAGTAACACCAGGGATTTGAGGGTCTATCGCATATGATATAATATGAACAGATGATCAGCTGCCCCTCCCTGGCACCTCCACAGGCAAACACGCATATAAACCCTAACCCTATAGAATTATAATCCCTAAACCCTAAAGCCTACCTGGCAGGAATCTCAAGATTGGCAATGCCAAGACCCGGGCAGCCCCCAAGGGCAGTGCCAAAGGCAAGAAGCGACCTGCAGCCAACCCAAAGAGCGCTCCCTCTAAAAGGAGGCGGTGCTAATCAGGGCTGATTTTCCGAAATGCTAGTTTTGATGGAAGTTGAATCCAAGTCAGGGGGCCGACCACGAATCATCAGAGCATTGATAGCCAGGTCCAAGCGGGTGCAGGTGGCGTAGCACTTCAGGAGGTTCTCCTTGGTAGTCCTGCCAAAGCTGGGTTCATCACTAGGTTAAAATTGTATAACAGGAGTAGCATGGGGATCATGGGGATATCTTGCGCGGATCCTTGAGGGCGGTGTGCCAGCATCAATCACGGCATTGGTCTGGAACTGCAATAACTCTTTGTAGCTGGTCTCGAGGTCTGCAATCTTTGGCTTCAAATCATCAGCCAGCCTCAGCTCAACCCCAAACCCTGGTCTTACGCCCGTAAACCCTGGCACCTGCAACGTCACACCACTTGCAAGACTAGAGGCTCTTTGGCGCGCTTCTGGCCAGACAGATTTAGCTTGTCCTGTCAAGCAGAAATAATAAAGTCATTATTCGAATCTATTGTCAACATCTGAGAAGCTACGCCTGAAGCTCCTTTGCAGTGTCCACCTTTTTCCCACACATGTCGATGTAGACCGCCAGAACACCTCAGCAACAGGTTGATTGTACATATTAGTCTTCTACATAATACCGAATTGGTACACGCGGGTAATATAGGCGAGTATCTGAATACATCTTGATTGGCTTGCAGCACGGGGAGGCATTTCTCCTTGGCCGTCTTGGCCGTAGTTGCAACTGCCACACGAGCATGATCCACATCATTGGTGCCAGTTGCACCTGACCTTAGGATGCACGATTCCAACCATGAACCACGACCTCCTTAACCCCCTATACACCTGAGTATCATAAGCCAATTAAAGCACCTGCTGCAGAACTTACAGAACCCCCCTCCTAATTAAAGTCATCTGCGCTGCCAAGGTTCCGAAGGGACGCTTCATACGAGACCGTGTCATTGAGGAGGAATCCGGAGTTGTCCTGGCTTAGGGGGATGTAAGGTAGTAGGGATTAAGGCTTCGGGTTCAAATCAGTTAATCCCATAACATCTTGGCTCATGTTCATATAGAGCCCCTGGTTTAAGGTTTAGCCATACGGGTTGCATTCCAAGTCCCTTTAAAGTTTTAGGCTTAGAGGGTTTAGGGCCGGAACTATATGGACCGGGTTTAGGATGGGATGGGCCTCAACTGGCAAACTGCCCCTCGAAGTAGAGGACTGCTCTTGCTCATTCCTGAAGAGGAAAGTCTCGCGCGTGGGCACCTTAAACTCCTCCAGTCCATGGATCTCATTGACCAGTGTCAGACCACGAGCTAGTGCCCATCGCTTGGCATTCCCAATCATAGTCCTTGCATTTAGAGTATAGAAGCGCATCTGCAATACATGGCATAGCGCCTAGCGTTGACACTAGCCACTGCCAGCCAAGCCACTCAGTCCAACCCAGTTGCGCAAGCGTCACCTCGTTCTCCCAACCACCAGCTCGCTCATTCTGAGTAACTTGAGAAGACTTTTTCGATAGCTCCACCTCAAGGGCCGCAAATGACCCATGCTTCTGGAGTAGCTCCCTCAATTGCTCGCCTCAGTAGGATGCATTGTCATTAAACATGTTGCAGGGCTTTCATGGTATATACGTAGCAAGCTTCGCCCCTTAGGGTCATTGAACATCTTGAGAGCTTCCTCCGAACACTTGAGCTGGCCCTTCTTGGTCGGCGCGAAATACCGCTTCATCCTTGGGGATCATATCTTAAGTAGTAGAATAAGCTAGATGACCCAAAAGATGTAGTGTAGGAGACATCACATAGCCATGCACTGCATACAACAAGTCTCTTCCAATATGAGCCGTCGCTGTACATGGAGGACGAAGAAGCATTTGTTGGGGCTGGGGAAGGTGGGGCTTGACGGTGCTCCGGCCCGGCCACACACAAAGGGTCTTTGGGCACTCTGGGGGCATTGGGCGAAACCGGTGACAGCTTTACCGTCGGGCTGAGCTCAGGCTTTGGTCTTGCAGGGGATGGGGAAGCATCACGCCGGACGGGCGTAGGCATGGAAATCAATCCTTCACGGGGGTGCGGTGGCTCAGCATTGTGCGATGCAAAGCCTGGCAAAAACCTGCCAGCTTGTTGTGACTCATGTACATGAGCTCTTGCTCGCACTCCTGCTGGGGCACAATGGAGATAGGTCATATGAGGTCTATGACATGTCTGTCAACATGAAGAGTCATGCCATTTATTGATTACAGTGTCCTTCCGGCACCTCTCCATCAAAGGAGGCAAGCTCCTGCTGCAGCGCCATCACTTTCCGGGTGGCCGCCTAAGTTGCGAGAAACACTTAAGGGCTTTGGGTCCATAGGTTTAAATGATTCAAACGAATTTATGTTGCCGGCTAGAAGCTGCAATCTGATCATCCAGCTCAAACGAATGTACAGTTCTAAACTGATTAGCCACCATATTGAGGCCTTGATCAAGGGACTTGCAAGTAGTCCTGCGTTCTACCGCCATTATTTGGGCCAGTATGCTTAACGGTACCAGAAAGTGTTCGGTCGATCAAGAGCCATGCGCATCACATCATCATACGAGATCTATGACCTACTCCAAGCATGTGAGAGCAGCTTCGCAGGCAAACCATCAAAACTGAAATGAGCAATTGTTCGAAAATCCCGGTTTGCGCCCGTTTGCTTGGTTTTGCGCCCGTTTGCGGCGAATTTGCGCTCGTTTTGCGGGCAAAATTGCCCGATATTTTTGCTTCAGCGTGGTTTTGTCACATCTGTACAAAACAGCTGATCAAGACCCGGCATGTGCTTGAAGGAGCTCTTCTCGTAGTGGGTGTCCAGCTAGAACCTAGGAGAACTCTCCAGGCTTGCTTATGCTTTCAAGGTGATTCCCTCAAGTTACCGCTTATTGCAGAACCAATTGCATGGTTCAGGGCAAGGAGCTGTTTCTTTTAACTCAGAGTTGAAAGATTCCATTGTGGCTTGCCAAGTAGGGGGCACCATAAGATTCTTGTTGTTGTAGAGATAGCACCACACTTGGACCAGTTCCGCATCGGCCCATGTGTCCCCAAGTTCCAAACTTGTGAACAGCTCACGATCCGTGGCACCCTCCCTCACATGAGACTTTTGCCTCAAACATAGCCGAGGTTGCGTGGACGCCCGCTCCTTGTCCCATAGTTCAAGGATCCTTTGCCCAAAGACACGGGAGTAGGACCTTGGGCGTACTACAGGCATACAGGTCGGTTGAGGGTTCTGGGTTCCAATCGGGCTTGAAGATATAGACAATTTGGGGTGCTATAGTTGTTGACATTATGGGAGGGAGATTGAGAGAGAGAGAAGCAGCCATCACAAACGCTTTTTGAATTGCACCCACGGTTTGGAAACTGAGGGCCCTACCCGCTTGCTCTAAGATCCTTCTTGTTGCCCACAAATCTCTTGACTCCGCGGGCATCAATATATTTCCCTTGGGACACGCCAACATACTTAGAAAGGGGGACTCTGTAGGATAACCCATATAGTTCTCAAGAAAGGATCCTGGCAGCGAAGTAATATTCAAATACAATATATATATAGTGGGGGCCTATACATGAGCTCTAGTGCTTCACTGACAGGATCCGGAGTATAATAGTTGCTTAGTGGCTCGTTGTCTGCAAAGACGTCCTCTCTTTCATAGCATCTCGAGACAAAGGTCCGGCATCCTTTGGGGGCATGTTAGGTCACAAGTTATTGATTGTGCGCTAGTTGCTCTTGTCACAACTAAGACCATAGCAAACCCATTGGCAAAAGATCTTGCGTTAGTCCAGATCACAGTGGGCTTTGGAGAATCAGCTCCCCAGTGTTGAGGCCAGAAATGATCTTTGAACACCTGGGTCATTTACGGGGCCCCTATAGCAAACCCTTTCAACATATTATGTAATTGGACACCGCATTTAGGGGGGAGCAAGCTATACCAATGTGGCTGGTTACAGAGTCCTAGCATATTCCGCCACCGTACTTTGGGGACCTATAACATCGAGCCTGTCTTGGGGGTATAGATCGAGGTTGATAGTGCTTTGGCAATGTAGGGGGCATTGGCTGATAGGCAGAATGCAAAATTAGAGGGAAGGCATAATATGTGTGTATATATATGTATACACCTATTTTGAAAAGTATAGTCCGGGGGATGTAAATCGCACAGTGACTACTTTTCAAAGAATTTAACACGTACTGACCTCTAACCCAACCCGCTCAAATCCCTGCTGAAACCAACAACAATTGCACACCCCGGCCTTACCTCAATAAGACAATCCCCTCATCCCAGGACTGTAAACCCAACAGGCTAGGCAGCTTTTGGGGGAATTAACATATATAGTCATTATTACCATGAATTACAAGCTATTGGCTAGCCTTGCGTAACTAGGAGCAAAGCAGACCTCATTGCAAAACCAGGAGAACCGGTCGTGAAATGGGAAGACTTGGTCACTTCCACGAGGCTGCTCGATCAGGAATATGCTATGAACCGCCAGAATGATCAAGAGAAGTAGTACCAGCCTGCATTTATGGGCCAAAAGTGCAATCCACCTATTCAACTATTTTAGCCTACTCTACCCTGGAACCCTAATTGCTCGGATTTGAGATCATGGGCCTTGATACTGTCATTGAACCTGCCCTCACATAGTCAAGGGCTGCCCTGCCATGAGGGTTGATCGGGGATCGCTGCGAGGTCGCCCGGTTTACTGTTGACCAGCTTGAGCAAGTAGGGGCGAGTACGTTCAGGGAGTCTGGAGCTTCTCGAAGCACAGTTGCCATCGCTAACCTGATTGATCGAGTAGTTCATAGGATCTAGGTTGGGGTCACTAGCGGGTTGTGCATATATACTATTCTTGCAAGACAACCAACTTAGCCCCTTGCGCGAACCCTCCTGGACTGAGGAAATTCATGAACTTTCCATCGGGGTCATAGAGGCAATCGTAGGAAACAACACTCCTCTTAGCTCCTCTGCAAACTTGGCTGACACGAGCCTGTCCTGCAAAAAGTTCGAACATCTCCACCTGCATGCGGAGGTCGATGTTGGATGTCCACATCAGGAGAAGTACCTGAGCGGAGGCCACATGGGTTTATTAAATATTTGAGGTGGGGTCTGAAAGGTGCACAATCATATTTGCAGAGGTTGCACGCATCCAATAAGCACCTGCGTATGAAAAGGCTTGCGTGGTTTTGCAGTTGAGGTCTATAGCATGCAATGTTCGGACTGGAAGGGCCTTTGGCGCTTGCACACGGTATCAAGGACTCCCATCTAGGGATTGGCATTGCCGCAGGGACAGCTAAAGCAAACACTGGGCAATGGCAGACCTGAGCCTATAGTTTCGCCATCCTAATCTAACCACAGCGCAACATGAAGCATGCAACTTCAGAAACGCCACGTTGAACCCAGCCAGCAGCACCCCTTGACATTGCCCGACAGGCCCACTTCTCCATGATGACCAATTTCAGCCTGCGTGCTCAGCTTTTCAGGCACATATGTTAATTACACTGAGATTGCAAAGTAGCAAATTGCATTTTGGATTCTCCACATCCAGCGCAGATCAACCCTCTGCACGTGTGGCCACACACAGTTTCGATCCTAGATCTAGCCTAGCTGCTAGAAGACATGTGAAAATTGGTGACAGTGTGCAATCAACCTGCACACTACCCAGCGGGACACGCTAGGTTCAGCTAGCCACTGCAGCTATTGCAGCAGCTCCCCTTGTAAAAGCCAAGAACACATGGTTGCAAAACTGGCTGGCAACATCACGAAGCTCAGGAACCGCTCACTTCGTGTTACGGTAAGCCTCAGTTGAAAAAAGTCTCCAGGGCAAGATGTTACAGGTCTTATTGAGGTGGGATCCATAATTTTAACAAGCAACAGCCTTGGCAATCTCGCATGCCTCTTCAGCCGTCATGCCACTTGTAAGGGCTTCGCGCTTTGCCTGATGATACGCCGATGACTTCCTGCTAAGGCGGGCCTTGTCCTCTCCGGATTTGCCTCCCTGATTCTTGTCCTTCACAGGACGCCCACACTTACCCTTGTTTCCTTTCCCCTTTCCCGCACCCTTTGCTTTCCCTTTCCCGGCGCTTGCCTTGGCTTTCGCCTTAGCTTTGCACTTTGCCTTCGCCTTCGCCTTTGCCTTTGCCTGCACGGGCTTTGCCCTTCCCGCTGGCCGCTTGTGGACTGGCTCATTTTCACTCAAGTCTTCCACTTCGCTGTCACGCTCTTCACTTTCCTCCTCCATTTCCTCCTGATCTGTTTCAGGCACCATTGTGGATTTCCGCGAGGCAGATACCTCAGGCTCCTCATCATCATCGTCCGCGTTCGCATGCTCCTCTTCATTGATTCTGCCGGTTTGCTGGGCCGGGGACATGCTAGGCACAACCGTTTCCATGCAAGGAGGCTTGGGAGGCAACTTTGGTAGGGCTTTGGGCGCAGGGGCAGTTGCTTTGGTGGTCTCTGTAGCTTCCTTGCCTGGGGGCTTCTCCGTCATTGGGGGCTTCTCGGGCTTCTTCGTCATTGGGGGCTTCTCCGTCATTGGGGGCTTCTCCGTCATTGGGGGCAAGTCTGTTGACCGGGCTTTGGGCAAGGATGAGGGCTCCTTTACACTCTCACCACTGAAGCTCAAGGATCTACGTGCGTCCCATGGAGGCTGAGAATCTTGTGACCAAAGCAGGTGTATCTGCGTCTCTGCGTTGTCAGGATCCACACCTGGGCGAGCAAGGGCAGGAATTATAAGGGTTGGGTCGAGGATAATCCAGATCAGCTCCGCAATGATCAAGATTATTATTTAAGGCAGGGTTCGTGCGGTAGGAGGGGTAGCCACAGGCTTCACAGGGCGATTCATTTCATAGAGTCGTCGGGCCCGCTTGGTCTCTAACTCATCCGCTAGCCTCTGAAGTCTCTCCTGAGCGAAAATGCCAAACTGAGGATTCATGCGTTACAGTAGTTACATCTCCTACGAACACAGCACAAACTGAGATCTCTGATGTTATATTGGCTAGGCGCAAGCTCATCCATTTTGGATCTTTTCTCAACTTCACAAGGCACAGCTGTAATGTTCTCGATGGAACCAACCAAGTTGCACCCTTTGCACTCGAAAATGCCATCGCCCAGGTGGCAAACTGCATGAAATCGACTCGCCGCCATACCTGGGCAGGATTCAGAGGGCTTCGGGCATTATTGGGGATGATTTCACAACAGTGCCTTACATGAACCATAGCCAAAAGACCTTCCCAGGATGAGGCTGCAGTTGAAGACGTTTCAGAAAGTCCTGTGCATTTTGAATAGATGAATGGCAGTCTTGAGAAACGTATTCTATGCAGTTACAACACCCTACAAGGTCCTGTTCCATCATCTCGTTCAATGACTTTCTTGAGGTCCGGATCATTCAGAGGGGTCGCCTTCTTCAAGGGGGGATCAGGATTCGGCTTGCAGTCAGCCTTACGCTTTGGCGGCTCCTTGGACTCTGAGGCCACCTCACTTGGAAACTCCTCAGCCTTACACTTAAGCTCAGCTTCAGGGTTGAGAGGATGGGTCCTGTCCCCAGTGCCATCCCCACTTGCACTTGCAGTGTGCTTGGGCTTCTTACGAGCTGGGACAATTGAGAGCACAGGTATATCCTCAGAAGTCAACCCACTTGTAGCCGCAGCTGTGTCAGAAGTCAACCCACCTGTAGCCGCAGCAGTGTCAGAAGTCAACCCACTTGTAGCCGCAGCAGTGTCAGAAGTCAACCCACTTGTAGACGCAGCAGTGTTAGGAGTCAACCTACTTGTAGGCGCAGCAAGCCCATCAATCTCCCCACTAGTCTCATCCCTGGCAACCTCAGTTTCCACACGCCCGGAAGTTGCATCAACGATGGGGTCCCCATCCATCATTTCCTCTTCCTCACCTTCACCTTCCCCATCATGGGTTTCACCCTCAGCTGTGCAGGGTGCAGGAATGGGTATGCCTGCTTTACATCATCCTGCGAAGCACCACTGATCTGGGTCTATGTGGCCGAGAAATCGTACGGTTCCACACAGACACAAGGCGTTTCAAAGACCAGGCCAGAGTAGATGCCTGAGGACCTAAGATTCACTCACCATGATTGCAGAGTACAATGAACTGCTAATTTAAACACATGCAAGCTTTAGAGACTAGGCAAGGAACGACTCAAGGGAAGGCGTAGGAGCTTGTAAAGGGCATCCAAGTGGACTTCCAACGTCTCAACTCCAACCCTGCATCCCAGATTCAGAATCACCGGAAGGAGAACCTCCTCATTGAGATCCAGGGCATCTCGGTCCACAGCGCCGCTTGGTGGTAGCTTCACCTGAATTTTGGGGAAAGGGTATTAATAGCTTCCAGCTATACCTTAAGAACCCATGCAGAGCCCATACCTCGAATCCACACATGACCGATATGTGCAGGCAGAACACAAGACAGTAGACAGCAGCACGACGGCGTACCGTAGTGCTGCCTTCCCAAGCCCTTGCTAGATCCGTAGACCCCTCATCAATCCCCTCATCGCACGACTTCTCCTCCTCCCTTACCTCCACCAGGGCTTCACTAGCCATGGCTGCAAGTTCCAGGCTTAAGGTAGGAAGAGTTCCAATTTACCCATGACACCCATGCATGCAATTTACCGTCACACCGCATGTGCCAGTTTTGCTTAAACGGCTGTGGGAAGACATGCAGGCCCACGTTCAAATTGCTATTATACATGCCTGCCGCAATTCAGTTGCAGTGGCCTATATAGCCTGCAAGGGTGGGCGCACCTTCATCGCGAACAACTTGGCAATGAATCCCCCACCTGGCCATATGATTAAGGTACCCCCCGTGAAAGTTTAGAACTACCACCTTCAGGGCTTGCCTTGTCAAGTGTCCAAAATTCGTGTAGAAGAGAGCCATGCAGCAGACCTGTCAGCCAAGGTTTCCTTGATGCCGGAGCGATGCTCATGATGCAAAGCGCCTGCCAATCCTCCATCAGCTAGCAAGCGTAATGGATAGTCCATTGGGAAAGGCAATATTTGGATTCTGATCCTGGGGGTATTGTTGGTGCTAGATATAGGCTAGGTCTTATCTTCTATATATGTCATGCGATATGCTAATGTACCGTTAGAAGAGGTCTGGCGGATTATTATAAAGAACCTCTTGATCTTGACATGATGCGATAGGCCGCCTGAGCCAACATCTCCTGTCAAAGCGATTTTCGCTCGTGAGAACCTACTTTTGCTCGTTTGTTTGGTTTCCGCTCGGATTGCACGAATGAAGCCCTTCAATTGACTCCAAGGCAAGAAACACTACAACAACCAAACGAGCAAAAATAAACGTATCAAAGGAAGAACCAGGAATGTTGATGATTTGAGATCCGGCGTGTCTGACAGTCTGGGTTCCGCGCACAACACTGACATGGAACCCTCAAAGAGGCCCTATCAAGACTACGGGTCAGCTCTCGCGTCGAAAAGGTGCAAATCTACAATAGGATTTTCTCCCCAAAATTGGACACCAAACATATACGCTCATAAATATTCCGAAGAAACCTTACGTACACTCACCAGACAACATAAAAACACCTACCCAGATTATGAGCTTCCGTGTTAGTTCTGGACCCACGTAGTCCTCATGTAATATCATTGCCCCTGTAGGAGCTTATATGAGAGGTTAACCAGCTGGCAACCGCCCGACTTGCAACTTTCCTTTACAAAAGGGCGGCCGCAAAACATCTAACCGAGAACTACACCCTGAACAACAAGCCTTCTGCAGGACAGCCATTAACCCTAAACCCTACATAACCCTAAGGCCCGCATAACCCCAATCCCTGAACTAAATGCTAAACCCCAAACCCCCAAGTCCGCCACGAACAACCCAAAACCATCAAACATAGACCTCCCAATATCCATAGCAACGGCTTCTAGCCCCAAAACGATGGGTACAAACGCTACTACAAATATTTGGGAGGTCTAGGCAATCCCCAAACCCAGAGCTCTAAACCCCAGACCGCAAAACTTTTATCAGAACATGGCCTGTGGAGCAACGTCATCATCTCCTGAGCCTCGCAGCAAAACTAACTTTGCAAGGGTTTAGGGTTCAAGGCTTTCCGGCTTGGGGTCCCGGGGCTTTAGGATTTAGAGTTTACAAGGCTTACGGGCTTTAGGAGATGAGTGACCGATGAGAACTTCCAACAAGTTGAGCAGGCCCTAAACCCTAAAACAGTGAGAGGCAGATACGGCTGAGGCACACAGGGTACCCATGGGGTCTAAGGTTTAGGGTTGAGGTCAAAAACTAAAAGCGCTGCAACGCCAAAGCACCTTGTAGCCGGGCCATCATGGAGATGCAGCACTAATGTGGCGGCGCTCACTTTCGTATCTATCCCCCCTCAACAAGAGGGCCCCCCAGAAACTCAAAATGGATGGCCTCAATAAGGCTCCCACGGTACTGAGGGCCCTGGGGATTACTTTAAACGGGATGGTCTGGATTCGGTTCGC